AGAATATCATAAACGTGTCATCAAATTGTCAGAATCCCCACCAGAATATTATGTACGTGCCATCAGATTGTCAGAATCCCCACCAGAATATTATGTACGTGTCATCAAATGGTTAGAGTTCCCACCAGAATATTATAAACGTGTCATCAGATTGTCAGAATCCCCACCAGAATATTATGAACGTGCCATCAAATTGTCCCAGAATATCATAAACGTGTCCAAATTGTCAGAATCCCCAGAATATTATGAACGTGCCATCAAATTTTCAGAATTCCCACCAGAATATTATGTACGTGTCATCCAATTGTCAGAATCCCCACCAGAATATTATGTACGTGTCATCAAATGGTTAGAGTTCCCACCAGAATATCATAAACGTGTCATCAAATTGTCAGAATCCCCACCAGAATATTATGAACGTGCCATCAAATTGTCAGAATTCCCACCAGAATATTATGTACGTGTCATCCAATTGTCAGAATCCCCACCAGAATATTATGTACGTGTCATCAAATGGTTAGAGTTCCCACCAGAATATCATAAACGTGTCATCAAATTGTCAGGATCCCCACCAGAATATTATGTACGTTCCATCAAATGGTCAGAATCCCCACCAGAATATTATGAACGTGCCATCAAATGGTCAGAATCCCCACCAGAATATTATGAACGTGCCATCAGATTGTCAGAATCCCCACCAGAATATTATGAACGTGCCATCAGATTGTCAGAATCCCCACTAGAATATTATGCTCGTGCTATCAAATGGTTGGAGTTCCCACTATAATTGGAAATCAAGAACACAGCGGACTCACGTAGATCAGCTCCTTAATCTTTGCCTTCAGCGAAACCAGAATTCAACTATCTGTAAAGTAAGAGTGGATTGAATATACATGAATTTGTTCACATTAATTATAGTTTTCATAAAATATAATAAAATCTTATGATAAGATTACGGCACAAGATGCGGGTTTATGATGATGAAAATTATTTCATGATTGTCACCATAATTTCAATGAAAATATGTCATATCCGTTTGCTATATGAAGTAACCAATTGTAATTCACCTGTTCCTTTTCTCATTTGGGAAACATCACAAATTTGTATCGACTGAGGACATCAAATAACGTCGATGAACCAGAAGATGCTTTCTCTTACGTAAAATCCGGTCTGGTTGTCCCTGCTTTTTTAAGTGATCTCAGCGTTAACTGTACATTTGTTAATATTCTGATCTTGTTTCGTCGATTTGAATTTAAATCATCTCTTCATATAATACTTAACATGTAGAGTAATGTCAGACACTCATTTAAATTCATGATTATAAGCCGCTTATCCCGATCTTCTCCCTCAACGAAGCCAACATGGACATCTTTTCACCAAGCTGTATGATAAACGTGATGGATATATTTTTGCCTTTTGTGAATTTTCCATTTCTGGAAAGTAACAACCCATTCAACCTCTGATGTTAACATGATTGATATTTAAGGGCCTGTTCCTATGGTCACGTTTTTTATGTAAGACGCCGTCAGATAACTTCCAAATCGTAAAGCAAGGTTTCAAAAGATGCAGATTGATGAAAATTATGGGGAAGTTTTACGGTCGTCATAGTGATCTCTTTGAAAGATATCCTTTTTTTTGTGAAAACTGAAAAATGAAACTGGGCGTGTTTGATGTTTTTAGTTTGTCTATAGGTTCCGTTGTTGTATACCTTGTTCTCATTTGAGAACGTGGCATTACTTACTTGTATTGACCAAGGTTTACATGGCGAGTGTCGTCGATTGAGCAAAAGACACTTACTCTTCCGAAACACCTGGTCTTATTATCAGTGTACTTTTAGGAGTAGGAGTCTCTGTGAAAATTTTCTTTTTGTTGATGTTTTGCCCAATTTTTATTGAATTTGAGTTTGGATTATGATTATGTTGACATGTTTGTATTTTCTAGTTGTTTTCCAATGGACAATAAAACACGCATGTATCATCGATAAAAAATAAAGTTTCTGTATGGAATTCATTATGTGTATGATTACACGCACAAAACAATGTACGTGTAATGATATCACGAAGCTTAGACGGAGATTTACAAAACCTCGATACCTGCTTAAATAACTGAATAAGGCATTTGATGAAAAATAATTTCGATTCAAGACTATTCATTCTTTTTACCCAACGCATATGTGATCTTTATCTGTCAATCTGTTTAACTATCGTACTTGTCCCATAGGCCACGTGACATTTTAATACGTGATACGTCACGTGTTGGTTTGGCACATGCGGTATCATGTTTATTTGTGAAAAAAAAAAATGCGACAGGTTAAATTACATAGATAACATGCCGACGAAGACGACAGGAGCTCTTCGAAAGATGTGTAGAAGATATGTAGAGTTAACAGGTAAATGTGTTTACGAACTAAATATTTTCATTAAAAGTAGATATTTTCATACCTTCAACATCAAATATTCGCGAAGAAACATAAATATTTCCCTTTTGTATGGTCATCCATGAGTAGTCTCCCTTTGGCAATGTAGACATAGCCTCGTGTAGGATATTAGTTTATACAACTTCCGGGTTTGTCGGATCATTCTTCTTAACCGAAACCAGACTTTTAACAACGTATGTTGACAATGTCGAACAAAACTTCCAACTCAGATTTTCTAAACGGCAGTTGATGAAGCCTATAAGAATGTCATATGGTCGCTGACATGTTGTCAGGAGGAAATGTTATTTTATCTGGATGTAGTCTAAAATGATTAATCTCTCTGACTCCTGTTCTCACTCTCCTTGTATAGGTTTCCAGATATTAATTTTATTCTGAATCTGTCCTGTCTCTATTTTGTTTCGGTTATACATAATCATTTTCCTGTCCCGTTTCCCCCCATCCTCGAAGTTTAAGTTATTTTTCTTTGTGTTTATGAGCAAATGCCTCCTTTCTCAGAGTTTTCAGAATAATGCTGGTACTTTTTTGTTCATGTTTTTAATGATTTTCTTTCCTTCTCGAGACACCTCTTAAAATTGAAGTACACAAAAAAGGAAGTACAGAGTGTTTATTACTAGTATATCATACGACAGTATTACAATTATGTAGATTGCCAGTTTAGGAATGAGAACACAGACCATCTTAGTTGTAAAGGTGTGCATGTATATCGGATTTCGCTACTTTACAAAGATACTTTTTAAATGATATACTTAATCGTCTAGTCGTTCAACCAAAGATTTGATAGTATGTAAAGTTCACAGAATTTTAATTAGTTAATGGTCCGTCCGTTCGTCCGTTCGTCCGTCTGTCTGTTTATTATTGACCGATTATTATTTATTTCCGAGTCATTTCCTTCGTGAGATAGCAAAAGAAAACCCAAAACTCATTGTTTGATTATCTGTTATATTTTAGTAGGTGAATAGACAGTGTGTGCAAATTCAGACAGAAACGTCCAAGTCTTGTGTTTTTATGACAGGGCAATGAGGATGTCAAATTCAGAATACATGATGCACGGGGGAAATCATTGGAGATTAAATGTTCAAGATGTAGACAAAAGACGAGAGTCATTAACATACTTTATCGTCTTTATTGTTTTATCTGAAAACGATCAACGAACAATAAAAATCATAACGGAAAATTGATGCATTAATGTAAAGAAAAAAAGCAAAACAATAAAAACATAGCAAATACATGTGAACAAAATATATCAAATATTTGCATTGATATTTGCATTGATATTTGCATTGATATTTGCAGACGAAAAGGGACTCCATACTAATGTATTTGGAAACTAACATGAAAACTCCAAATACGAAATTTGGAATCTTGCTATCAGTACATATAGATAAGTGACACAGAGGACAGGACGAGTTTATTATCGACTTAATGACGACGACAGACAGTTCTTGGATCTTTCTTAAATTTGGAACTTCATTAATTTATCGTGCTATACAATTACACCATTTCTGTTTGTTACAAAAGCTAAAGGTATTTTGTTTTAATGTTGATAAAAAATCCATACTGATATTATAAAAAAAGATGGATGAAGGTGCGTTTTTCTAAAATTTCAATATTTTTTATAATGAAAATAATAATAAGCATTTTTACTGAAAATGAATAAAAAGAATAAATTATAAGATTAAATTCCACTGAAATGTATTATTTGAATAGATATAAAAAGTTATGCTAAATCAACAATCGATCTTTTTGATGTTAGAAAAAAAAATTATATTGGTCGATCACGATCAGTGATTTCCTTCATCTGAAGGATCGTTAGAATGTTGGTAATATATTTTGATATGGTACCAACAAAACTACAACTATTGACATAAAAATAAATATTAATGATATGTACAAAGAACTGCGATATGATAAATGTGTGTTTCAATGAAATAAAGCAGCCATATCAGGCAGAATATACAGATTTATGAAGACAGAATTTCACAGTGATGAGCATGTAGGGGATTGGGGACAACACATAGGTATTGATTGACAAAACGGTTTGAAACTGAACCTTGAATACTTATACCACTGTTAATGGACAATAATTGGCTGTTTTATTGTAACACAAACTCAGTGATAAACTATCAGCAATATGTATGCAATAATTCTAACACTGTGATGAAAAATAAAAATCCCCCACATTGTGATTTTAACCGAGTGCCATAATATTTGCATTATACATGTATGGAGTAATATCACACACACACCCACACCCACACCCACACCCACACACACAGAGAGAGAGAGAGAGAGAGAGAGAGAGAGAGAGAGAGAGAGAGAGAGAGAGAGAGAGAGAGAGAGAGAGAGAGAGAGAGAGAGAGAGAGAGAGAGAGAGACACACACACACACACACACACACACACACACACACTCACACACACACACACACACACACACACACACATACATACATACATACATACATGATGGATTTATTAATCTCAACAGGATAGTTGATTTATGTTTGACGGATGTCATCGAGATGTACAAACAATGAATCCTCATCACCTAACAACAAACAGTTTTACATTTGCTGCTGCAGCACCCCTCGAGGTGTTGGCCAGGATCTGCTGAGAAGGAAAGAGCTAAGCCATTCCGGCGCCGTCCACAGAAAACGATACAAAGTATTGGCATCCCATCCTACCACGTAACGGGCCTTCGGGAAGCGGGCAGTCAGCGCATGCGTGTAAGCTTCAATCACCTCGTTCAGATTTGAAGACATATTGCCATCGAAATCCATCTGTGACGCTACTATCAAAACAAAACAAACAGACAACATTTACAATTATACGCCAACGAAATATGCAATTATAACAAAACATCGATTTTAAATTATCCTTTTCATTTAATAACTTTCAACTAACTTTCAAATGACGATAATTCGTCTAAAGATAACATTTTGTTTCTGCCTGACAATATTGTGTCAATGGTTTCAGCAATGATTAAAGTGAGAATACTTACATTTTTGTACAAAATCCTCTCCGTAATATTCCCGTTTCTCTTGGTCTAGTTCCCGATACCTTTTCTCCAGATTCTCAATGATGCCTTCTCCTGAACAAAAGTTGGTTTTGTATCCACTTGGCTCTATAATATGGACTGTAATTCCTGACTTCCACAGTTCAGTTCTGCAAATTTAACAAATTTACTAGAATAGTCAAAGTTATATTTCCTAAACGTCTGAAATTCAAAATTCAAATTTAACAAGTTTAATATTTTTGTTCATTACCTCCTGACCCCACAAATATAATCTAAGGTAGGATGTTGTATTAGATATGCAGCACCAACATTAAATAAAAAATAGATAACTGAATTAGGGAAATGAAATTGCAAGAATAGGAACTATTTTTTTACCGCAGAGAATCAGAGAATCCCTCCGCGGCGTATTTAGAACAGATGTAAGGTGTTCCTCCGATGGCAACTCTGCCAGACACGCTAGTCGTGTTGACAATTCGACCTTTCTCCTTCCTGATCAAAGTAAGAAATGTCCGCGTCATTTCTATGGTTCCGTATAAGTTAACAGCCATCACTGACTTATAATCGTCGATGCTCAGCCAGTCATTGGCAACAAAACAAGATTGTCCAAATATACCGGCATTGTTTACCAGTCCCCATAGTCCTGTAATTTGGGAAGAGTTTGTGGTTGTGCAATGATGATACAGAGAGAATTTCATGGTATGAAATGTTTAAAAAATATATACTGTTTTATTTCTTATTATTTTTAACGTTTTCAGTTATCATAAAAAGAAAAACAATAAAAACATATTGTAAATTAGAACAATAAGTCTTAAATTATACTTCGGATTCTTTATAGGGACGAAACCAAGACTAAGATACTAGGAAAATGTATCTATCATTAAATTTACAGATGATAAAAGAACAAAATTTACAATTCAATAACAGTAAAACTCCTACCTCTACCATGTGGCAGTCTGGCCGTCACTGTCTCGAACGCTTCAGCTACACTTTCGCTGTTCGTTACATCCAGATCAATTATTAGAACCCTGTTAGATGTTGCCTTTTTCAGATCTTCGCCTCCTTTCTTCGTAAGACAACCGGCAAATACGTTCATACCAAGGGTGTCCAGATGTTTGGCAAGCAAGTTGCCAAAACCAGAATCACAGCCTGTTATCATGACGTAGAGGTCCTCTCTTTTCTTGATTTTCAAAGTACGAAATTGCCGTCGGATTACAATAAGTCCCGTCACAAAGAGCAGGATGAAGCAAATCAGAATTAAAGCCAGCATCTTGATTCTACAAAGAAAATGACCACTCGTTAAAATTTATGTGTCAAAATTAATCAACTTAAAATTTTGAATAAAATAAGGGAAAACTTTCATGGTTAACTAATGTCATTTTGATGTCGCTCTCCTGTTTACAATTGATGATGGCATGGATATTATTCAGAAACAATGAATTAGCAGTGAAAGAGTATTTTCCGAACATAATCAAAATTAATTACCCTTGTAAGAGTCACATCCTCCGAGATGAAAGGAACATATCTTACCTTAAATACGTTTGTAAATGAAAATGTGGATTCAACAGCATTGATAATGATAAGTGTCTGAAGGCGGTATTTATACACAGCCCTGGTTCATAATCACACTTACCTCTCATTGGCAAAGTCCACACGACGTCATCGTCGACGTCAGCCTCATTGATCATATGCCCCTTCACAAACACGTTCTGGTCTCCATACATACCGATTGGACGATGCATTGTCAGCTGTAGTAGATAAATTAAATACGTAGAGATAAGTATCATGTTTCAACGTATGTGTTTCGTTCCATTTTGTAAGCACTGTTCATACCAGGATGGTTTCTATAATCGCGTAACATTATTTTCTCTTCGCGTATTGAATCAGTGTCCAGATTTTATCCTTAGAGACGTCACGTGCAAACATTATATATATCTTTGTACAATATGAAGATGGACGTGTTTGATGCTCATAAGTATACCTATTTGTTGTTTATCTAAGTTGAGGACGTGATATCAATGACTAAATTAAGATGTTCATGGCGGGCGCCATCGATGAACCATAAAATGCTTACCATCACAACTGATTTTATTCTCTGTGTAAATCTTCCTTATGTTTATGCTATGCCCTAGTTCCTTCGCATTTATGTTCGACTTTTGATTCCGTGAACATGTCGGTATTCCAGATCTCCGAAATAATATTTAAAACTGCTCTGACCCCTCTATCAATAAGCCGTTATTACTTACGGTCAAGGACACATCCGATCTGAAAACGGCTTTAGCTGTTTTTTGGTAAGTTCTGAGAAGACAAGAACGGTCACTTTATATTTGTGTAGTTGTGCAGATGACTCATTGAAACAAAAAAAAAAAAAAAAAAAAAACAATTTGTTTTCAGAAAAGCTATATATCTCGTTTTTAACCTGATATATACTGGGTCAGTTGGTGCACTATTAATTATAGTTTGGCTAATCTTTAACACCGTTACTATGACAACCTTGACCAGAGTAAAGTGGTAGTTCTATTCCGCATACTCAATTCACACACATATTCAATACATATGTTGATAATTTAACCAGTTTATTAATGTCACCGAATTAGAAATTTGAAGTTTATGTCGCCAAATTAAGATTTTGTAATTTGCGTTTGTCAGTTGCCTGTATCTTTCATATCTATTGGTCAAACGTCACACACTTAACATAATTTATTATACAAAGTACAAATAATAATAACATGCGGTCAATATTTAGTCCGGGAAAATGACATTCTGAATAATTGTGTTCATTCCGCGTGTTTTATATCCTCGTCGTTAAAAACATCTTTATTTAATTACTTATCAGCGGTTTTTTTTGTTGGAAATTCCAACCTAGACCAAGTGTTTGTTTTATTGTTAACATCTTTATGGTTAGTTATTAGAACATGTCCCGTTAACACCATCAACAAATGAGCCCTATCACATAAACACAGCGATAAACAAGAGCTAGCCAGTACACAATTTGATTACAATCTAACGTTTTACAGGATTGGAGTGGTCGCGTGGCTTACTGGTGACGAACTCGTCTTTCCCCTAGGCGCCCAGGGTTCGATTCTCCGCACAGCCATGAAAAGGTATGATGTCACCTGTCAGACCATGTGGATGTCCCCCGGGCTTTCCAATTCTTTTAAAAGTTTGATTTTAATTTTATTCAAACGACACACACTGTCAGATGAACACAGTATATCCATAGCTTGTTCAGAAAGGACGAATTTTAGGACGTGTATACAAATGTAGTTATACAAGCATTATGCACTATTTAATGTGTTTGACCAACTCATTCGTTCGTCCATCTATACCCGTTCAGTGTTGTTAGAATTCAAGTGCGTGAAAACAAAATCTCAACTCAAACCATGAAATTAAATAAAACAAAAATACCCCTAAAAGACTAGGATAAAATATGAACCAAAAGATATCCACTGAGAATAAAACCGGGTTCGTTTTAGTGTATATTTACAACCAGTAAATACTAACCTGTTAAAAATGATCCAAACTCAAATTCAATAAAACTAGTGTAAATTTGAGAACAAAGACATATATACAGAACGGCTTCTGAATAGTTACAAGGAGAATACAGCCGAGTGTTCCAAAATAGTAAGCGTCTTCAGCTTCATCGACAACACCTCCATGTAAATCTTACTCAATCCAAATAAGTAATGTCATGTTCTGAAATAAGAGCAAAGGTATACAACCACGGGGCCATTATGCAAACTAACAAATATCAAACACGTCCAGTTTCATATCGCAAAATCAATCAAAACATTTCTCAATGAGATCACTATTAAGACTGTAAAACTTCCTTATTGTTTTCATCAAAAAACATATGTTGAAATATGTTCTGAGTTTGACCATCAGTTGATCACATTTTGTCACAAAAGTCGTGATATTGGAAAAATTCTCTTGAATTTCGAATCAACTCCGACATGTAACAACATAGCTTGTGGAAGCATGCTTGTTGTATCTAGAAATGGAAAATTCACTATAGTGAAATTGAAATAATCAGGCTTTCAATACAGCATAGTAGAAATCATATGTTTATAACAATATTTTGGTGAATGGATTTGTTGGCGTTGCCAGATCAAACAGTTTTGAGGTATAAGATTTCGTGTCTTTCTTAACAATCTTTAAAATGTACGAGTAACAACAGCTACAGACGGGGTTTAATTTGGTGAAACTTGTTATACGAAGGTGTCCAATATACAGGGTATAGTTGGTGTCAGATGTAACACTGAGTTACCTACACTAATCTACCTCCCTAACCTAGATGTGATTGAAATTCGGTTATCTTGTTCGGCTTTCTACTGGTCAAATTACAATTCAATCCTGTGATTTCACTAAGATTTGATATATTATGTCTGTTTTTGCAGATTTAATTGACGTAATAAAATCGGTTATCAAAAAAGTACTCAATAACACACACACACAAAAAAACCAAAACAAACAAATAATACATAATTGCTAATGTCAATAATTCATTACATATATATCTATGATGTACATGTACTATTACCTATATACCTATGATGTACATGTTTTATTACCTATATATCTATGATGTACATGTATCATTACCTATATATCTATGATGTAATGTATTATTACCTATATACCTATGATATACATATATTATTACCTATATATCTATGATGTAATGTATTATTACCTATATATCTATGATATACATATATTATTACCTATATATCTATGATGTACATGTATTGTTACCTATATATCTATGATGTACATGTATCATTACCTATATATCTATGATGTACATGTATTATTACATATATACCTATGATGTACATGTATTATTACCTATATACCTATGATATAATGTATTATTACCTATATATCTATGATGTAAATGTATCATTACCTATATACCTAAGATATAATGTATTATTCCCTATATACCTATGATGTACATGTATTATACCTATATATCTATGATGCACATGTATTATTACCTATATACCTATGATATAATGTATTATTACCTATATATCTATGAAGTAATGTATTATTACCTATATATCTATGATGCACATGTATTATTACCTATATACCTAAGATATAATGTATTATTCCCTATATACCTATGATGTACATGTATTATACCTATATATCTATGATGCACATGTATTATTACCTATATACCTATGATATAATGTATTATTACCTATATATCTATGAAGTAATGTATTATTACCTATATATCTATGATGCACATGTATTATTACCTATATACCTAAGATATAATGTATTATTACCTATATACCTATGATGTACATGTATTATACCTATATATCTATGATGCACATGTATTATTACCTATATACCTATGATATAATGTATTATTACCTATATATCTATGAAGTAATGTACTATTACCTATATATCTATGATGTACATGTATTATACCTATATATCTATGATGCACATGTATTATTACCTATATACCTAAGATATAATGTATTATTACCTATATACCTATGATGTACATGTATTATACCTATATATCTATGATGCACATGTATTATTACCTATATACCTAAGATATAATGTACTATTACCTATATACCTATGATGTACATGTATTATACCTATATATCTATGATGCACATGTATTATTACCTATATACCTAAGATATAATGTATTATTACCTATATATCTATGAAGTAATGTATTATTACCTATATATCTATGATGTACATGTATTATACCTATATATCTATGATGCACATGTATTATTACCTATATACCTATGATATAATGTATTATTACCTATATATCTATGAAGTAATGTATTATTACCTATATATCTATGATGCACATGTATTATTACCTATATACCTAAGATATAATGTATTATTACCTATATACCTATGATGTACATGTATTATACCTATATATCTATGATGCACATGTATTATTACCTATATACCTATGATATAATGTATTATTACCTATATATCTATGAAGTAATGTACTGTTACCTATATATCTATGATGTACATGTATTATACCTATATATCTATGATGCACATGTATTATTACCTATATACCTAAGATATAATGTATTATTACCTATATACCTATGATGTACATGTATTATACCTATATATCTATGATGCACATGTATTATTACCTATATACCTAAGATATAATGTACTATTACCTATATACCTATGATGTACATGTATTATACCTATATATCTATGATGCACATGTATTATTGCCTATATACCTAAGATATAATGTATTATTACCTATATATCTATGAAGTAATGTATTATTACCTATATATCTATGATGTACATGTATTATACCTATATATCTATGATGTACATGTATTATTACCTATATACCTATGATATAATGTATTATTACCTATATATCTATGAAGTAATGTATTATTACCTATATATCTATGATGCACATGTATTATTACCTATATACCTAAGATATAATGTATTATTACCTATATACCTATGATGTACATGTATTATACCTATATATCTATGATGCACATGTATTATTACCTATATACCTATGATATAATGTATTATTACCTATATATCTATGAAGTCATGTACTATTACCTATATATCTATGATGTACATGTACTATTACCTATATACCTAAGATATAATGTATTATTACCTATATACCTATGATGTACATGTATTA